CCCCAAAACCCCAAAACCCCAAAACCCCAAAACCCCAAAATGCGAAATAAAATTGAATTTATCTGTATAAATTATGCAAAATTCTTACAACCTGTATCACATCCTAGCCTAGACTTCTCCGCTCTTCTTGGTTGGGTAGCTTATCATAGCTAGTCTATTAAAGACCTGTCTTGACTTCCATTCCTTATGGTATTTATCCTTATGAATTTTCATGATTCTCTGCTTTAATCTTCTTTTATGGCTATCCAAATCTGCAAGAGCAGGCTTGAGCTCCTGCTCAAGCCTGTTATGGTACTCTGAGATCTCAGGAATCTCCTTGGAATTCTCAATCATTTTGCGGTGACGTAGAAGCGCCAGGCTATTTTAATAAGACATTTTGGAAATGTACCTGATGACTTGTCTCTGAGCTTCCTTCTTTGCATGCTTCCTGAAAATCTTTTCGATGTTGAAAGGGAACTTGGTCTCTGAAGGCGACAAGCTTGTGTGTGTAGCTTCTGGTGAGAAATACCTTCTTTTAGTCGAAGTGAGATTGGAAGGGCTGCTTCTGCCATCTGGAGAAAAGAAACCTGACATTGTTTGTTGCTTGTTCTTGAAAAATCTCCAATGAGAAGGAGATTCTACCTTCCCTATTATGTCAAGAAAGGAACTTGTTTGTAAAGGCCCTTTTGGAGGTAAAATCATCTCTTTAGAAGCAATCTTATGTAAAGTTTGAGGAATGTCTTTTAGAATATGCTGAAGTTTTGATGAATTACGATCATTCAAGTGAAATCTAGACATCCTTTCTTCCTTTGTCTCAAGCTCATTTACCAAAGGAAGGGGTTTCTCTTTGATCTCCCCTTTTGCTGTCTGGATTAACTCAACGTTAACATTATCAAAGTCAGGGAGCTTGAAGCCGGTCTCCTTCTGCCCAGTTTCTTCTTTCAAGAAAGAACTAAGTCTTAACCTTGAGCTTATCTTTCTCGGTTGGATAGGCGTGTACCCGCCCATCTGTTCACTCTCTATTTCTGATTTAAGTGACTTTCTGAACTCCAGGCCTTTTTTGGTATAAACCAGCTTCATCTTTAAAAAATTACTATTATTTAAAAGGGGTTTTGGGGTTTTGGGGTTTTGGGGTTTTGGGGTTTTGGGG